CCTTTTTCTCAAGAACGTTTTGTGGCTCGGCACCTGTGGCTCAAGCGGCTAAGGCGCCAGCCACATACACCTGAGCTGGCGGGTTCGAATCCAGCCTGGGCCCACCAAACAACCAAAAAACAGCCGGGTATTGTGGCAGGCACCTGTGGTCCTAGTTTACTTGGGAGATGGAGGCAAGAGAATCATTTGAGCCCAGGAGTTGGAGGTTGCTGTGAGCTGTGATGCCATGGCACTTTACCCAGGATGACAGCTTAAGGTTCTGGTTCAAAAAAATAAAAGAATGTTTTATAATTTATTTCTGAGTGACATCCAGGGCCATGGGCACCAGCTTCTCTGGGCACAGCAAGCGTAGTCCTTTTGTAACTGGGGGGAGGGCCTGGAGTCTGTGCTGCCCTGCCTAGGGCTGTGCTGTTCTGCTGAGACACAAAGATGGTGTCTGCTTTGGAGTTTTGTTTTGCTGCAAACAGAAAAGCCTCATTAAATACCACCTTCCAGTGGACTGTGAGTGAAAGTCAGGGGTTCTTGCACCTTCCCCAGGTCTACTTGGCTCCCAGTGACGTCCGTCACCCATGGTGAAATGCTTTGTTTTTTTTCTTTAAATGTTTATTTTATTTTTGAGACAGAGTCTCACTCTGTCACCCTGGGTAGAGTACTGTAGCATCACAGCTCACAGCAACCTCAAACTCTGGGCTCAAGTGATCCCCCTGCCTCAGCCTCCCCAGTAGCTGGGACTGCAGGCACCTGCCACAACACTCAGCTATTTTTTCTATTTTTTAGCTAGTTTTTCTATTTTTAGTAGAGATGGCAGTCTTGCTCGTGATCAGGCTGGTCTCCAACTCCTGAGCTCCAGCCATCCTCCTGCCTCCGCCCTCTAGAGTGCTGGGATCACAGGTGTGAGCACCTCACCTGTACATGGAGGGCTTTGTTAATTTTCCTTCCCTGTCATCTGCATGAATCTTGGACAGTCACATCCAGATGGTTTCTGTCTGGGGTCTATTTGTGTTTGTGCCATTTCCTACCTGGGGAGTCAGTGGCATGGGGGACCCTGCATGGCGGCTCTCCACCTGGCTGCCCTGGCATAGGCAAAGGAGGTAAAAGTGATTCTGAAACTTGAATTTCTTCTCTGACTCCAGAGGTCTGGGCCAGAGCTGGCACCTTCTGCTTGTTTGAGCTCAGGTGTTGGTGCAGCAAGCACTGGGGATGCTGCTCACTGATGCAGGGACAGGCACTCCCGTGGGAGGATGGTCACAGAACACTCCGTCTGCAGCCTGTGGCCACAGGGGCATGGACACCGGTGAGGTCATTTCAGGTATGAATGACTTGTGGAACAGGGAGGCGAGCGGAGGCAGCAGAACCCGGTGGGTAAGAATCAGGGCCAGGATGGCACCCTTCCCAGACCAGGCGTGAGAGGAGTTGTGGGATAAGGCTGATACAAGGACTGCTGATGTTGGCATGTGCACAGCTCCAACCAGGCCATCCCTCCTGGGCACAGGCGAACAGAGTCACACAAGGAAATGCACAGATGTGTGTGGGGCATTCGTGGTGGCTTGGCCCCCTTGTGTGTGGACAGAGCAGGTACCCACCTGGGGTGTGTTCCCTCTGAGGTGCATCGTACAGGAACAAGGTGGAGGATATGCACCAAGGTGGGGCACAGCATGCGGCCATGGGGACTTCTGACTCTGGCATCTCTTTCACTAACTGTGGGCAGACACCAGAGCAGCACCAGGATTCTCTCCCTATCCTTGATGGGAGCCGCCCAGGCCACAGCTGCTGCTCGGGGCATAGCGGCCATAGAGGAGCACAAGACCTGTAGGCGCCGCTTTGCCTGGAGTGTGGCGTGCTTCTCAGGTGGAAACTGAGGGCTGGGCCATCCTGGCAGGAGACGCACCCATCTGGCTGGAGCTCTGCTTTGCAGGGTCAGGTAGGAAAGGTGCCTAGGATGTGGAGCTTGGCCCATTGCTGTGTCTGTTGGCCCTGTGGAGGCCTCTTAGGTGTCAACTCCTTGCCATGTAAACAAGTTTAGTTTTGGAAATGTGGAGGCTGTGGAATGTGTGACAGGGGCCATGATAGTGTTCCTGGCGAGGGAGCCTCGTGCTGTCACCATGAAGGGGATAGGGACAGCCTCCCAGAGGTGGGAGGAGAGGCAGACATGTAGGCAGTGAGGCCCTGACCAGGTGGGGATGGTCCCACTGTGGGGTCCAGAGCCACGTGCCCAGCATCCACAGTGGGATTGTTCGTGTCCTACGACTGCAGCCCCTGGCCAAGCAGGACAGGAGCACCAGGTAGCTGGGCGAGGGTCACAAACCCACCAGTCTCCTCGAGTCCCTGTACTTCCAGGCAGATGAGTAGGGGCTGGCCCAAGCACCTAGGAGGGGTCTCCTGGGGAGGTAATGGTACAAGTCTTTCCATATAAACGTACAGTATATAATACTTGTTATGTGTGTATAACATATAAGATTAAAGGCTCGGCACCTGTGGCTTAAGTGGCTAGGACGCCAGCCACATACACCTAAGGTGGCGGGTTCGAATCCAGCCTGGGCCTGCCAAACAACAATGACAACTGCAACCAGAAAATGGCCAGGCGTTGTGGCAGGTGCCTGTGGTCCCAGCTACTTGGGAGGCAGAGGCAGGAGACTC